AAATCTTTACAGCAATAGATAGCCCCATTTTCCTTCCATGGAGCAGCAGGTGGGTTTGAACTGCCAGCCTTCTGGTTAGCAGTCGAATGCCTTAGGCACCGCACCACCAGAGCTCCTTATAGTTCAAAGTAGGAAGTATTAAATTCCACCAAAAAGGGAAAGAGAAAACCCTAAATTGCTATGACAATTCAAGAGAAAAATGACCCCAACCGGGAGGATAAGGCTTCTGGGAGACAGGAGCATCTCAAGTGGGCATTGAGAGGTGGTGAGAAGCAAGGATCAGAGGATGGCACGATGAAACTTGTGATTCTTAATGATTTATATAATTTGCTAGTAAACAATAATAGCCACTGCCATCGAGTTGATTCTGACTTATAACAACCCTATGAAACAGAGTAGAACTGCTCCCATGGAATCTCCAAGGCTGTCAATCTTTATGGAAGTAGACTGCCTCATCTTCCTCCTGTAGAGCACCCGGTGGATTTGAACCACTGACCTTTGGTTAGCAGCCCGATGCTTTAACCACAGTACCACCAGAGCTCCTTTAATAAACAATAATAGTTAGCACTACTAAGTACTTACATGCTAAGCACTAAGCTAAATGCATTAAAGCAATTTTATTTTCTAATTTATTTCTTCCAGAAATCCCTATGAGGCAGGCATTATTATTTTGCTTACATGGGGTTATTAACTTGTTCGAGTTGAACAGGTGACAGGTGGTGGAACTGAGATCGATAGCAGGTTAACTCCAGAAATGGTGCCGAAAGCCTCCTGTTCTCCAGCATTTCGTGAGAGGAGATACTAGAGGCAAAGGTGGAGAGGCAGATAGTCCCAACATGTTTGAGGAACAATGGAGTTTTCTTTGATAAAACAGTGACTATGGTAGAGGGAGTGGAGCTGATAGGGACAGGAGGGCTATGAATGGCAGGGTTTAGTTTTAGGGAGAATCTGAGGTTTTGGACAAGAGTGACCAAAGATATTTTAGAATATTAATCTGGCAGCAGCATAAAGGTTTGAGACATGGGGAAATAGGGTACAAGAGAAGCTGTTAGGAGGCTGAAGAAATAGCATGGCAAGCCAGAATGGCACACTGCCTGGCCAAGGCTCGAACCTTGAGGTCTAATGAATGTCTGGTACTAACTACTCTTGCAACCTCAGACAGGTCATTGGACTCCTTTGTCCCGCTGCATCCTTATCTATAGAAAATTTTTGAGATTCCTTCCAAATCTAAAATTCTAGGAATCTGGCGTTAGGTGTTGTTGGCTGCCATTGTGTTGGCGCCGATGCATGGTGACCAAAGTACAATGGAGCACAATGTGGCCCAGGCCTGTGCCATCTTCACAGTCCGTGGTATGTCCACGTCCATTGCTGCGGCCATTATGCATTTTGAGTGCCTTTCAATGTAGGGGGCTCATCTTCCAGCACCATAATGAACTATACCCCACTTTGATACATTGGTTATTTTTCAAAAGCCGATCAGCAGGGCTTTCTTCCTCGTGTGTCTTAATCTGGAAGCGCCACTGAAACCTGTCCACCATGGGTGACACCGCTGGAACTGGACATACAAGTGGCATAGCTTCCAACATCAGAGCAACACACAACTCGCCATAATGTGACCAATTGACAGACAGGTAGCAGTAGAAGGACCTAAATGAGGATAATTTCAGGGGCACAAGAGACAGAGGTGAGTGACTTTTTGAGCGATGATTTAGTGGTAGAAGCAAAAGAATACAGAAACTGATTGGATGTAAAGGTATGAGCGAGAAGTCAGAAGACTGCAGGCTTTTTAAACCCAGATACCCAGGGAGATAGTGGGAAGGTCAGCAGAAATAGGGACACAAGAAAAGGGTGGGAGGACAGATCGGCTTCATTTAAAATATATGGACTCTGACATGCTAAGACATAATGGAGATAGAAAAAAGAGCTGAAAAAGGAGCCCCAGAATTAGGAAAAGGGATCCTGGCTGGAAGCTGTTTTCACAGGCGGGAGAGGAGACAAGATTGCCTAGGGACACTGGAAAGGAGGGCAGTGACTCAATCGGAGCTGGTTATAGCCACACGTACAAAAGAAACAGAGCCAAATCCCAGGCAAGGAGAAGAGAGGGAGGAAGAGCTTCATGGGAGGCTGGGTAGGAGAGGCTTCCGGGAAAAAAGCCCATCTGATCAAACGTCAAATGCTATGGAGAGCTACTTGATCCAAAAGGTGAATCCAGAAAACTGATGCTGACCCAAAGCAGGAGTTCCAGAGGGAAAGGATGGTGCCAAGCTGACTCCAAATGCAAGTATCTTTACAGACACTTCTAGGGAAAATAACCTGGGAAACAATGTAACTGGGTCTTTTCTCCAAGCAGTCCACCGCCCACTTGTATTAGAAACACTGGGTGGTTGATTAAAATGCAAATGTCTGGGCCTCACGCCATCTTGGGGAGGATGGCTCCGGTATCTTCATTTTAAACACCACCAAAAACATCAAGTCGATTCTGACTCATAATGACTCCCTTTGGGTTTCCAAGGCAGTGAATCTTTATGGAAGTAGATTGCCCAGTCTTCCTTCTGTGGAGTGGCTGGTGGGTTTGAACCACCAGAGCACCATCAGAAGATGGTGGTGTTTAGGAACTCTGGTGGTGTGGTGCCTAAGGCATTTGACTGCTAACCGGAAGATTGGCGGTTCAAATCCACCAGCCACCACCATCTCCTGATAATGGAGACCTGGCTGACTAATTAAGTGTGTTTTTTAAAGAAATGGAGGAAGTTGGTAGAATTGGATTAATTGAAAGGAAAGCTGATGGAGTGTAATCCTGAAAAGGCCAGGTAAGGTCTAGGGCATCAACAGAAAGAAGAACCCTAAAAGACACTCTTCCTATATCCAGCAACATTCTGCTCACCATAGTGGAGACCCAGGCTCAACAGGAAGCCAGCCAGCATGGTGCCCTGGAAAGTTCCATTTGGTGCTTCCACTTTTTTTTTTTTTTTTTTTCCTATTGTGATTTGGGTGAAAGTTCACAGAGCAAATTCACTTTCCATACAGCAGCTTACATACACTTTGTCTCATGACATTGACCACAATTTACCCCAATGCAACAGTTCCCCTCCCACTTCCTCCCAATAGTTACCTCTTCCCTGTATCCATCCCTCCATGCATTCCTGCCCCCTGAGCTGTCTCTCTGTGCATAAACAGCCCTTCTTTCTTCCATGATTGTTTTCTCCAAGGAGTATATCTACCTCAGGTAAATGTTCAGCTCACATGCCTATCTTTTGTTTGGCTGGAAGCCACAGGTATGGGTTCAATTCCAGACCTGAAGGGCAGCTAGGGGCCATAGTCTCAGTGGTTCCACCAGGCTCTATCAGACCAGCAAACTTGGTCCCCTTTTTTTCCCAAATGATTTTGATTTTTGTTCCACATTGTTTTTCCTCTCTATCCAGGATCTCCTACATAGTTCCCCCTCTGAGTGGTTGACAGTGGTAGCTGGGCACCATCTAGTTCTTCTGGTCTCATAGTTGTACAGGGTACAGATCACATGGTGTACCAGTCGCTTGGACTAATTGTTTCCATGAGTCTTTGGTTTTCTTCATTCTTCTTTGTTCTGGATGAAGAGAGACCCGTCACTGCATCTAGATGGTTGCTTGCAAGCTTTTAAGATCCCAGTCGTTACTTGCCAAAGTAGGAGGTGGAACAATGTTTTGTGTAGTGTATTATGCCAGCTGAGCTTGATGTCCCTTGAAACTATGGTCCCAAGCCCATGGGTTCAACTACTCGGTCCCTCTGGGTAGCTGGCTGTGACCAAGAAGTGACTACAACCTTGTCTCTTGTCAGCTCTTCTATACACCTGGGAATTCTTACAAAACTTATATATACACTTGTAGAACCATTGTCTGCCAGCCCTATAAATGGTCTTGGGTACACTCCCCCCTGCATGTTGTTGTTGTTATGTGCTGTCGAGTAGGCTCCGACTCATAGCAACCCCTCCTTGAGTTGCTGAGGCAGTATCACTACAGAAGTAGATTGCCCAACCTTCCTTCCGAGGAGTGGCTGGTGGGTTTGAACCACCAGCCTTCTGGTTAGCAGTCAAGTGCCTTAGGCACTATGCTACCAGAGCTCCTCCCCCCTGCATAGACAAACGTAATAGTTCAGCCTATCCACCCATCTGTCTACCTGTATACCCATGTTTGCCTTTACTGACAACGCAGTATGATATGTGCAAAAAGGTTCATCTTTGTTGTCTGCACCTCCCATGTACCTCTCTATGTCTTCCTCTTCCTCAGTGCCACCATGTTGATCACTCACATTTGGTACATTGCCCTTCTCTTCACCCAAATCAATACTTATCTCTCTAACTATCTAACAGTGGTCCCTCCCCTCCCCTCCCACCCCTGGTAACCAACAAAGAAAATTTCCTTCCATATATAAACCTTTCCTTGACTTTTACAATAACAGACTAATATAATATTTATCCTTCTGTAATTGACTTATTTCACTTAGCATAATGTCTTCCAAATTCATCCACGTTCTGCAGATTCTATGTTATTCTTTAGGATTGCATAGTATTCCATTGTGTGTATGTACCATAGTTTGGTTATCCATTCCTTAGTTGTTGGACACCGAGGTTGTTTCCATCTTTTGGCTATTGTAAATAGTGCTGCAATGAACATGAGTGTGCATATGTCTATTCTTGTCATGGCTTTCACTTCCTTAGGATATATACCTAGTAATGGAATAGCTGGATCAAATGCTGTTTCTAACTCCAACTTTTTAAGGAATCACTATACGGCTTTCCACAGTGGTTGTACCATTTTACAGTCCCACCAGCAGTGTAGGAGAGTCCCACTCTCTCTACATCCTTGCCAGCATTTGTTATTTTCTGTCTTGTTGAACTTTGCTACTAGTGCTAGGCCAAGATGATATCTCATTGTTGTTTTGATTTGCATCTCTCTAGTGGCTAATGATCATGAACATTTCTTCAGGTGCTTCCCCTCTTGGTAATTATATCTTACCATCTGCAGTGACAGCCTGGATGCCAGAGATGCACAAGAGACTGAAGTCTCAACAGAAGCCAGAAACCCCGATGAGTTTCTTAACCCTCCCAGCAGTGGTGAGGAGAGCACAGGCAGCTGGTCCCAGCTTGCCAATGAAGACGACAACCCTGATGACACAAGTAGCTTCCTGCAACTCAGTGAACGATCCATGAGGTACCTATCTGCTCTTCCCTTGACTTCCAAGACAAACAGGTCTCAACACAGCTTCCAAAAATGCATTTTACTGGATGTCTGCAAAGGATGCCCAGTAGAACAAAAGGAAAGCTCCCACTGGGTCCAGATGTCTGCCTGTCATGATCTGTGCTGAGAGTTATCTTAATATTCAATTATGGCTTCAGTTACCTTGGCCAAGGTCAAGAGTCAGCTGTAATCCCTTCTCTGCATGTCCCAGGTAGTGCATTCAAGGATGACAACTGTGAATTTTTTATTAAGAGCTGCTAGTACACCTCATGTTTGTTCCTTCTTTCTGGTTCATTTGTATTTCAGAGGCAACACAGGCTGGGTTTACATGAGGCAGGTTTTTCCGCACTGTGTTGTGTTGTGGGCCTGACTGTTCTTCCCATCCTGCTTCCCTGCCCTCTGTATTGTTGCTCTGGAAAGCTGGAGCAGAGCTTGTGAGCGATCCGATTTGGAGGGACTGAAGTAATCAGAAAAGTTGAACTGGAAAAGCTCCCTGTATGAGGTGGAAACTCTAAGAGTTTCTCTGCATGTCTGCCCTAAGTCCTTATTCGATCCTGGACCAACAATGCTACAGATGTTCCAGGAAGGCCAGTGGCTCAGAACCATCTGGGGGTGTGGGTCTTTGAAAGTTTTATGTCTTGCCCTTCAGCCTGTCTATGTTGTTGTTGTTGTTATGTGCCGTCGAGTCAAACCCGACTCATAGCGACCCCTCCTTGGGTTTCTGAGGCAGTATCACTACGGAGGTAGGATTGCCCAACCTTCCTTCCGAGGAGTGACTGGTGGGTTTGAATCGCCAGCCGTCTGGTTAGCAGTCAAGTGTCTTAGCCACTATGCTACCAGAGCTCCCCAGCCTGTGTATAGAAGTAAGCAAATTTCACAGCGTTAAACAATCTGTCTAACATTCCAAAAACTAGAATGGAAGACTACAAGATAAAGACAAGAGGCCAGAAGAATGCAACTTTTTAGAGTTAACAGCAGTTTATTGGGTTACTCCCCTCCAGTGCAATATTTGAGTCATCGGGTTTCAATCTATGAGTGTATTTGGTAGAATTTTAAATTGAGGGAGTCTAGCTGGTTACTCATGGTGCTCCCTAGGGAAGACTGTCTCAGTACATGATACACCAGCACTTGACCTTAGAAAACTTTGCTTAGAAGAGATGTCCTGAGAAATAGAGAAGATGTAAAGAAACTCAGTGGGCTTAGTGGAATTGGGTGAATTCCATTTCACTAGTACAGACAGAGCTTAGAAACTGGCTCAGTTCTACTGAGTTTTAGTGAGTGAGTGCCAGGGAGTAACTATACCATTTGTTGATTGTGCAGCCTAGGAAAGTGATACAGCACATGATCCTGCCTTCTCTATGCTCCATAAGGTATCAGGTGGTGCTCTTTCTCAAAGCCTTACGATTAAGAAGCTCTAATACTTTAACACTGTCCAACTTAGTACCTGTAAATTCCGGAGTTCCACAGTAAAACAAACCAGTGAGCATCCTATGGAATGTCGCTTGGAAAAAATCCCCCCAAACGGCAGAAGGTGAATGAGGTCACTGGTCTCTGTCAGAAGCCGAGATTCAGACAGAGAAGCCTTCTGTTATGTCCCCAATCCAACACTTTCAGGAGTATCTTAGTCTATGCAGATAAACGCGTGGAGTTCCTTTCTGGTAGATGAACGTCTTTGCTTTAACTAGAAGCAAAGAGACATGCTTATTGTTCCCCATTAGATGTAATCTGCCTGGTGAGCCACCACGTCGGGAATTAGACGATGTCACCCTTTGTTTTACTTCCCCCTAATTTGGTCAGAAGCAAATGCAATTTAGAAGTCTGAGAGTCAGAGCTTCAAACCGGTTCATTCTTCAAACCGATTTGACCCCCTGCTGACAGGTTGCCTGTCCACCCCAGATACATGGAATCAGAATGTACATTTTAATAAGCTCCCCGGGTGATTCTTAAATGTACATTTGTTAAAATATAGAAATGCAGATTCTCAGCAAAGTATCAGATGGGAGTGAACTGGTTCAAAGCCCTGCCTAGAGTCAAAGCAATATTCTTCTTGGGATCAATGAAAGGATCTCTTAGAACAGTGTGGCCAGGTGGTGGAGACTGGCATTAATATGTAAACTTTTGCTTTATCAGCAATGGCAACAGTAGTGCCACTAGCAGTCTTGGCATTATGGACCTGGACATTTATCAGGAAACCATGCCATCTTCTCCCATGATTAAGTAAGTAGCCACTGAGATGCAGTGATTGTGAGACCACTACCCTAATTTCATCTAGCAATCCATTCTGATCATCCAGGTTGTGTCCAGCCATGATTTCATCATGTCTGTACGGTTGTGGTTCCCAGAGCTTATGGTTTTGCCTCACTGGAACAAGAGCTCAGGTCTGGAATAGGTCCTGCCCAATCACATCTGCTCTGTGGGCTTCAAATCAGTCCCCTACTTCAGGTATACTTACTTCAGATAAGGCTTAGGAGGATAATCAGAAGTATATGGCATTTTACCCTAGTTGGATGCATAGAAGCAAAAATCTATTTAAATTGTACAGCCATTAAAGGAAGACCAGCTCAACAGAACATGGCACAGACCAAAGGAAAGCCTTTCCTTTACTTGTAGACCCCTGGGCTTATCACTACGAAATATGTCTGTATGATGGAGCTGTAGCATCCCCACCCCATGACTCTGCTCCCCAAAACATGGGGACCTGCTAAAAGACCAAGGGCAAAATGTACTTAGGGAAACACAAAAGTTACGACGTGAAATGTGCAGGGAGGGAGGGCAAACGAGATTAGGACTATTTCTAGGATCTGCGATTACTCTAGAAAATCGAATGAATTGACATCTATTTTTGACCAGTGTGGATTAGCTCATTGTTTGACGAGTTCTGAAATTTTAGGAAAAAGAACAGGAAGTGTAGAAGTTGCTTCCTGACCTGCTTCCTCGATCACTGTAACTAAAAAGGCCTTTTCCATTCACCGTTCACTCAGGCATTGACAGTAATCGAGCACTGAGATGCATCCTTTGTTGCTGCACACAATCGTTATTCAAAAGTAGAAATGAACATACATTATTTTGTGTTTCGTTTTTTAAAGAAGAACTGAATAACAAAACTATTTTGGAGTGGATTTACTTTTCTCCTCCTGGAAACTTTTGTATAACTGCTTTTTCTGTCTCCATGGTCTGAGCTTAGTACCCCACAGCCTCTATGTATTTAGGGAAAGCCAAGACCCTCTCTCCCCACAGGCAGCATCTTGCAGATCCAGAATAGCAGAAACTGAACCAACCATCTGTCCTTTTCACTAATGTTTCTGGCACAGAGATTCAGCAGAAAATCTCTACTGTTGGGAAATTAAGCACTCTTCTGCAAATAATTAAGTGTGAATCAAAGAATGACTGTATAGGGCCTTGTTGACTTCAGACTCCTCCCAAAATCAGGAATAAAATGAACTTATCAGCTAGGTCTTAGCAGTCACAGAGCGAATCCCCCATCATCATGTTAAGAGACTTTGTGCTCTGATTTTGAGACAGGACAAAAATATAGAACAGCCACAGGCTTCCCAACGCGTTCACTTCCTCTCATCTGCCATATGTTCTCCCTTTGTAAGCATTCGCTGACTCCCCCTACTCCGGACAAGACTTTGTCATAAGTTCTTGCCTTGAATATTGAAAATGACGGTGTTTAATGAAATACTTCAGTTGAGTCCCTAATTCCAAACTATCCCAAAGTACGGCAACCACCTAATAAAAAGAAAGAAAAAGAAAACAATTCACCTGAATGGAGCTAGTTTTTTGTATAATTTAAGTTCCATAGTTTGTCTATCATCTTCTCCCTTATTTTAGGAAAAAAGAACCATTTTTTTTCTGCAATGGATAGAACACTATTTCTCTAAATTAAAATTTAAGCTTACGTTGTTATCATAGGATAGAAAAGATATTGTGACAAGATGGAGACATGCATATCTTTCAACACAAGTAGAATACAAGAGAAAGATAAATCCCTAAATCAGATTTAATGGCCTACAAAATCTCCTCTTGACTGTTTCACCCTGAGAAGGAGGTTTATGGAAGGACACATTGAGTGGAATAGAAGGATCCATCTTTCAGCAATCTCCCACAGCAGTTATCCCAACTCGACCCATCCCTAAGGGCTAGATAGCCTTTTTGAGGGGAGGATCTTTACCGCAGACTCTGTAGTCCTCTCAGTCACTTTGGTATTTCCTCAACATTCAGCATTATTTTACTGTGTAAGAACAGGGAACCTAGAACAAACTTCAAAAGCTTTTAGATCAATAAGACCCATCACTTCATCTTCCATTTACAGCTTACTCTTCCTAAACATTACCAACCATATACTGTTGTTTTCTCCCCAAGTGAATTAGTAGAAGAAAAGGAGAGTCTTAAAGGACAGTCAGAACACATAGAGGGTAAGCCACCTTCCCATCATTTTGACACACAATTGCCTGCAATCTCTCTGTGGAAAGCATAGTTAAGGCTGTGGTTGTGTCTGTATTTAGAGCATGCCTCTGGACTGCCCGGGGGACCAGCCAGCCACCAGCGGAGCCTGCTGGTGATCAACTTTGACGTGGAGCCTGAATGTCCCGACGCTGAGCTACGAGCCACTCTGCAATGGATAGCCGCCTCTGAACTTGGGATTCCCACCATCTACTTTAAGAAATCTCAGGAAAACAGAATTGAAAAGGTATCCATTTTCTGTGTTTGGATGTTGTTGTTGTTGTGTGCCGTCGAGTCAGATCCAACTCATAGCAATGCCTCCTTGGGTTTCTGAGGCAGTATCACTACGGAAGTAGATTGCCCAGCCTTCCTTCCAAGGATTGGCTGGTAGGTTTGAACTGACAGCCTTCTGGTTAGCAGTCAAGTGTCTTAGGCACTATGCTACCAGAGGTCCTTGTGTTTGGATAGGACATCAATAAAGCTTTGCATTTTCATCAATACTGGAAAGTCAGTCAATGCCCAGTTCATCTACTTGAACTTGAATCATTTGTTCTTGACTTTTTGACCTGAAATTGTGGCTAGGACTTTGAAACTTCCACCTGTATAAACATAATCATCATTACTGTTTTTTGGCTCCTTAGTTTGTCTCAGCTGGTTGGTGGTGATGAGAGGAGTGAAGTGGGGAGATGAGAATTTTTTCAGTCTGATCTTTTCATATCACCTTGTTGTGGAACCAACCCCTTCCTACCACATATTTAAATAAAAGGAGGAAGCAAAGAAACTGAAATATACTAGAAACCAAAGTGAGACCAAGCTGATATTTAAAACAGGCTGTGTGGCATGATGCCCAGAGAGACATTTTGAATTCTCTACCAGCACAGATTTGCCATGGGCAGGTTTTCCCATTATCATTCCACACTTACCAGAAACGTAAAGCTGGTGAATAAAGCCTTGGCCAACATCAGAATTAATACATCTATTGGTCTAGTTCCATCTCTCTAAGACCTAGTACTACTACCTGTGATGGAATTTCAACTGTTAAGAATCTTAATTTCAGATCAAGGCATGGCAACCCTCTGCCAAAGTCTTCCATCTCAATTTTCCATAATTTGAAAACATGCTGCTTTTAAAGTTTTCAAATTGCTCATCATGTTGCTGTATGAGTTTTCTATTGCTGTGTAACAAATTACTATATACTTAGAAGCTTCAAACAACCACCATTTCCTGTAGGTCAGGAGTTCAGGTGAGTTCATCTGGGTTCTCCACTCAGGGTCTCACCTTGAAATCAAGGTGTCAGCCTGGCGGCTCTTACCTGGAAGCCCTAGAGTAGAAACTGCTTCCATGCTCATTCAGGTTGTTGTCTTCACTCACATTCCTGGGCTCCTTCTGGGACCTTGATCACTTTCTGGGAATGGGGCCCAAATATGCTTTTTAAACAACTTCTCCTAAGTGAAGTGATTATGACACTTCACTCTGAAGTTTGCAACCCACCGTCCTTAAAACTATCCTGCATAAGTGGTGGAATGTGAGGTGACCATAGCAAAGATTGCTGACCATCCTAACATGCGTTAGTCTAAAACTGTTTATATATTTAATTCACAATGACCTTGAGATCAGTTCAATGGGATCCACTTAATTCAAGGTCAAAAATAAACAAATCATGAAAACAGTTGGCCTAAAAATCAAAAAAGACACCTAAATTGCTAATTGCCCTACTTTCCAGATGGAAAAGATCCCTACTGCCCACCTCTTTTGCATCTGTTTCAATTCCATGAGCTTTCATAGAGCACAGTGGGTGGCTAAGGGCACCCACATTAGTCAAGTGCCTTTCCCGTCTCTAAGCCAGTACTGGGACTTACTCCTTTTTCTTAGAGGCAATGTGTGGAACAGAGTGTACACACAGAGAACACGGGTATCCACTCACCGTTCCAGGAAGCTGAGTGCAGAAGAGAGACGGCTCTCGTTTCTCATTCTCATTCCATCCACGTGAAAAGGAGAAGGTGAACGAGAGAGAAAACATTGATAGTGCGGACTGCTGACTTAACTTTTCCAGAACAAAAAAATCACAATTGAGAGTCTCAGTGGCGAAGAAACACATCAAAAAGGAAGGGGAAAAAATAAGAAACAACTAAATACCAAGGTTCTTCATCTGTAACCATAAGAAACTGTCTTTGACTGAGTCCTTTAGCCGTGGTTCCCAAGCTTAATTGCACATTAGAATTAGCTGGGGAGTTTTACGACCCCAGATGCTCCGACCAATTAAATTAGAATCTCTTCTGAGGATGGGACCCAGGCATCAATAGTTCCTGGTGATTCCAGGGGGCAACTAAGGTTGGGAATCACAGCTCTACAGACCCTAGTGCAGAAACAATATAGGGAACAAGTGACTTGTGCTAATGGAATCTATTTGTACCATGGACTAAAGAAGTAGCTGCTTTTAGAAACCTATGGTGGATGTTTCCAAAAAAACCACACAGCTTCTACAGTCCCATAGATCCTACCCTATGATTTTACAAGCAATTAATCTAATTAGTGAAATGCACCTGAGAATATAAAAAGCGCCAGCGATATGTTCTTGATATAGTTGTCACGTGCCGTCGAATCGATTCTGATGCTTAGTGACCCTATATGATGTAGCAGAACTGCCCCGTAGGGTTTCCTAAGTTGTCATCGATACGGAACTAGATCTCCAGGTCTTCTCTCCCACGGAGCCACTGGTGGGTTCCAACCGTCAACCCTAAGCTTAGCCACCAAGTGCTTCATGGAATGGAAGTTCTTTTGTTTCCAAAAACGAGCTGTTTGTTCAAGGAAAACTAAGTATTACTGATATGTGAAATGGCAGGAAATTAAACTTTTTGATATTTATATTTTCAATTCAGTGGAAAGAAGAACCGGATCCTTGCTGTGCTTAAGCTCATTAAGAAAATACCATGGCAATAACATGGACAAGCACAATGAAAGCCTGAGGGCCAGCTGCTAGAGAGAATGTGGCTTAAAAAGGCCATTGTCTGTAGTAATGAGCTGCAAATGTCCTTTTCTGGGTTCATCACAATTTTAGCTTAATTTTTATGTAATTCTTTTTTTTTTCTTTTTTTAATGAATGGAGGAAGAAAAGCATGAGGCCTTCCCAGTCATAAGCTCTGCAGATGTTTCAAGGTCTCAGCGTCTGAGATTCAGTTATCACAGCCTCCAAGGCAGCTATACATGTGGGGCCAGACGTATCTTTAAATCTCCTTTCTTGGGGTATCAGCCTGGACTTAGAGCTAATGAGGAAGATTCCAGCCTGCGACCACTCCACAAACATGCTCTTTTTTAATTGTGGTAATATATCTATGGAGTCCCTGGGTCATGCAAATGGTTAGCACATTCAGCTGCTAGTCAAAAGGTTGGAGGTTCAGGTCCACCCAGATGTGCCTTGGAAGACAGCCCTCACAATCTGCTTTAGAAAAATCAGCCTTTGAAGATCCCTACGGACTACAATTCCATATACATGGGGTCGCCATGAGTCAGAAATGACTTGATGGCAACTGGTACTGGTAGATGCCATTGAGCCTTCTCCTATCCATGGCTTCCAACCATTTCTGTATTGTATGCTTTCAGTAGAAAAAGGGAGAGCAATCAGCGCCAAGATGTGTGTATTTAATTTGTTGAATGCCTTAGGCACTATGCCACCAGAGTCCCTATTTAATTTGTAGATGTGCAAATGCGTTACCTAAAATTCTAAGTCAAGGCTCATCCTCAGTGATACTGGATATCCATCTACGTTCCAAAATCTTGGCAACTCTGAATTGTTTGTCTATCATTTGAACTAACTTGACTGCCATTTGATCATTAATACCTTCATTCAGCAACTACGTATTGAGCACCTACTAGGTGCTGGCATAAAATGAGAGTGACCATGTCCCTCCCCCTGAGAGTTGACAGTCTAGAGTATAGTTGTCTCTGCCTGCCACCTACCTCCCTTTTCCCATCATCCTAAAATGCTTTGAAGGATGGTTTATGTTTCAGGTGTTAAAAGTTAAGTATTTCCATTTCCATTTGTTCTGATTAAGCCAACACAAAGCAAGCAAGTACAAGAAAGCCCTGATTTCTGAAACTGTGTAAATAGTTGGTGCAACCACTGAAGGACAAAATGTAAGAGCAGTTCTCTATAAGACGGTTTCTCAGCATTTGAAATGAATTATCACACACAGGAGAGGAGGAAAAAGGCCAAAAGAAATTAACATCTCATGTCCAGGCTAATCTCAAAAGACCGAGCGTACTCTATAAGAGCAGCTTAAAAATCCTGGAAGGAAACAGGGAAGAAACAATAACTAAACCACAGTCCTCATCTTTCTAACAAATAGGATTTTCCTCCTCATAAGCCAATCCGAGATTTTCAGCCTATCCCCTCTCCTGGTGCTTCAAATTGATGCTGTGTTCTCTGCGCCAAACCAAAGCAGGGCGGTGTAGCAGAAGGACAGTGCTGAAATACCACAGATACTGATGTCAACTTTTCATCTGTCAAGTCTTTAGTTTTTTCATCTGTAAATGCCTCCTTCACAGGTGTTTTTTTTTTTTTTTTTGACAGACTTGAATGAGATTACATATGCAAAAGTCCTTACTGCAGTTCAGGCTTTTACTAATTGTTAACTTTCTTTAAAAGTACCTGATAAGGTGTTTGGGAGGCCTTCTTCTGGACATCATCACACAGTTTCATCAGGAGAGTGCTCTGAAATGATTTTCCCACTTTCCAACCCTCCAAACCCACAACTCACTTGTAGTCCAGAACTTTCTAAGTGGTGGCCAATTGAAGCCAATAACCAGGTGATAAATCTAGAGTGTTTGCTCAGTCTTGGCTGTTTGTCTTTCAGTGGACAGGCAACCTCTTTGTTGTTGTAGTTGTGAAAATACTATAATACAGCGTTTGCCAATTCAACATTTTTTACATGTACAATTCAATGACATCAATTAAATTAATCAGGTTATGCGACCATCACCAGTATCCATTGCCAAGTTCCCCATCACCACAAATACATAACTTGCTTCCTAAACAATGACTCCGCCCTTCACCCAAAGCCAGCCTCTCTTGTTGCTTCTCCTCAGTGTACCTAGGGAAAGAAGGAATGAGTCAGTTGCCCTAACTGAAATTTTAGCTCTGGATTAATTTGGCCAATTTATTTGGCAGATGTGTTTTCAGATTTATTTGGTGGTGCACATATCTTATAAGAAATTATTTGTGATACAGGCAGAGGGAACTGGGAGCCATGTTTTACAGACCTGCCAAGAGTCAACCCAGACAACAGCTGACCTGAGGAAAAACTTCAAATACCTGAAAGACTGGAGAATGAGCATTGTCCCATCTAGTCCCCTGCAATTAGTGGAGGAGAACCTCCATGAGGGAAACCCCTGTGTCTGGAGGGTGGTCTGCCTCTATGCCTCCCAACCAGGCTGCCTACGCAGAGCCTTGGGCCCAGCATACTTTCTGATAAGGAGGTTGGGAATTGGATCTGTCTCTCTCTCCTTATCAGAGAAGTCTTCCCCCCTGTTCTAGGCACACAGTAACTTTCTGTGTCTCTTGCTAATTTATTGGCATCCCATGGCACCTGGGCAACCCCACTCCTTTATCTGTTGCCGGTGGGAAGGGAACATGGTCACCTTTGACTGTGGCACAAGACGGATATTCATGGAACATCTGCCCTCAGCAGCTGCAAGAAGGGGGTCACTGGCCACTAGTGAGGCTAATCCTGCTCTATCTCTTCTCCATGTAAGTAAAGCATTTTCCCACGCACCATCACAGCATGTGGATCATGTCTCTTGTTGGCGACCTCAACCCTTGGTGCAACACCCAGTTTAGCTGAAGAAGGAATATCTAATAATCTGAACTGTCTGAAAAGGACTGTTCTGGACAACAGTCCTCAGTCATGGAGATACTCATAGACCAGAAGGCCCTGGGCAGGAAAGTAGAAACAGGGTTAAGGCTTTAGAAGAATGGTTCAGTCACATGACCTTTGAGAACCTCTGTGATGCCCATCCTAACTCTATGCTTTTAGTTTCTAGAGGTCGTGCGGCTGGTTCATCAGAAGTCCTGGAAAGTGGGGGACATCTTTCACGCAGTCGTCCAGTACTGCAAAATGCGTGAGGAGAAGGAAGCCAGAACCCCGAGTCTCTTTGACTGGCTCTTGGAACTGGGATAAGGCAGCTGACCCCGTAGACCATCCCTTTCCTTTACTCCAGCTTCGATTCCAGTGATTTGCAAAATGCTCTAAACGTTCTCAAAACATCGCATCCTGTTAGCAGAGCTATAAAAATCTGCTGCTCAAGTTTACTGCATATGAAATAGATGTGAGAAAACGCAAAGTATGGGTCTGCACCAATCAGTACAACCCACGAGTAAGTTCATAAGAGCTTGCAGTAGAATGACTGGAAAAAGAAACTACAGTGGGCCCCAACTTAGACTGCTTATAACCAGAGCCAAACTCCAGAAAAGCTGTATTCACGTATTTTTAATAATGTAAAATGGTAGGTCATGGCTCCAATTAGGTGAATCAACTGGAAACAGATTTACTGATCAAGGTAATTTTGGAAACTATGCTGTAACTTTTCTTGTTTGAGCAAATGAAAGAGCTACCAACGGGTAAGAAATTTCTAGTACTTCTGTCTAAAAGATGTCCACTCTCAGACTGGTATCAGTAGGTAGTCACTGAAATGCAAAAGTGTGTTAGTGTCCTCTACTGAGGTGAATCCATTTATTCTCTGCAACCCACAGATAAATATCCACCTCTCCTCAACAATATCTAAACTCCTAAGTACCCAGAAAATGATTGGTGTTCAGCTAAGGGAGAGGAAGAGTGAAGATTGTCTTGTTCCCATCACTATTATTTTGGTAACACAATTATGGAATTCCTACCATGTGGGAAAGCTTTCTTTAAAAATAATAATACTATTTTGAGATAAAACCTGCTTGTGTATTAAATTATATGAAATACACACTTTAATTTTATTTTTATTATAAAGTGTGAAGAGATTGTGATCCTAAATAATGCATTGAGTTGGCTTAGAGGTTGACAAACTATGGAGAGATTGTCATATTAAGTCAAATATTGATATATGAATTCAGTAGTTGGTTTGATTACGAACGTGCTGGCACCCATGTGACCAGCTTGCTACTGTGATGATATTTATAATGACTGATGCAGGGTAAATTAGGTTCATAACCTAACTGGTCTCCTTTGCTGATGACTCAAAGAGATGGAACTTGAGGAAAAGAAAACCTTATCACATTTTCAATATTAATAACAGAAATTTACTCTTGAAAATAAAGATATCTAACTTCTCCCCAAGTCTTCTATTCTTCCCACTGAGTGAGCTACACGGGCTTTCATTTTCATGTTCAAAGTAGATGTTTATTAAAGATTTCCTGAAATACTATGCTTTTGCACTATTTTTAAAGAATGTAAAGTAATTTTCAATGTGAAAAAGGCCCCACTTCATCAGTGCTAGCCTGACCTGATCAAGTTGTCCACATCTTGAGACGTCAACAAAAATTCCCTTGAGCCAAACTCATCCCCTGTGATCTTTCCCACTGCCCACTAAACACTGAGCATGCAGATAGTCTAAATTTAGTTATATATTTAATTTGGCACATTAACCAAATGTCAACTTTTGAAAATACCCACCAACTGGAACTGAAAGTTCTTTGCGCTACTAAATGGAACAGGATATCTTTATTTTTCAAACAATCCCAGATAATTGTGTGTAGACTTCTGTTGTGCTCGAATAAATGTTTACTTATCCTACAAAGCACAAATTATAACACTGGATTGTAACCTGTGATGAAATTATATATGTTGTACCTAATGTTGCAAATTAATCAATAAATTTCTGTTGCCAAATTGTTGGTTATTTCTCTCCAAGAGCCATAAGCACCTCATGGAAAAAAATATTTGTGCCGTAATTGGAAGATGATGGATATATCCCTAAGACAAGTTTTGCTGTCCTGGTTACAATTTTTGAATAAAGTTTCACTGATTTGATTTGTTAGGATCAGTAATAACTGAAAATTAGAGTTTCCCAACCTCAGCACTATCGACATTTTCTTCCACGGAGCAGCTGGTGGGTTTGAACCACCAAGCTTTAGGTTAGCAGCCAAAGGCCTTAACCACTGCACCACCAGAGCTCCTCATTGACATTTTAGGGTAAGATCATTCTTTGTTGTAATGTCTGGTGCCCTGTAGGATGTTTAGCATCATCCCTAGTAGATGTCAGTTACTGCCTTCTTCCAATTGTGATAAAAATGTCTTTGAACGTAATCAAATATCCTTTGGGGGATAAAATCATTCTGATTTGTGACCACCAATGTCAACAGTGCTTTGAAGGGGCAGAGTGTGAGAAACTGTAGGGTGTTCAGGTAAAAGAGAAGGAGCCAGTAGTCTAGTCTAGGGAATCTCAGAAGGAATGTGAGGGCCAGCTAGCTTCTTCCCCTCTTACCCAGCAAGGCCCACTGGGGTGGCATTGGCAGCAAGTGGGATAAAGAAGGAGAAGACACCAAGACAAGGAGTCTACAGGCCTGGGAATAAATCAAAGTAGACTCAGGCAGACTCGTCATTAGAGGTAAATGAATCAAGGCTTCTTTAGTTCAGAAAATGAATTATTAGAATTAACTCAAATAAGGCATTGAAAAGAATGGGAACTTCGTTTCATTTACAAGAAAACCCTAGCAATCAGCTTCTGAAGGACCCCGGCCACTGAAAGCCCTACGGAGCACAGGCTGCTCTGACGTACGGGGGGTCACCATGAGCCAGCGTCCACTATGGAAACTGGCTTTGTTTTCAGTTTTATTCACTAAGAAGAAGGCATTAATATGCTTAAGTAAAGAAGCATTCTCCAGGCAGCCATGAGGTAGCAAAGGTGAAGCAAATGGTTCTCATGAAGCCACGTCCTTGCATCTTTGTGAGACGCAATGTCTTGCTCTGTATACAGTTTAACAAATGTGGTTTTAGTGACTAGTGGGTGTTGAGAACTAGGGTAGACAATTAGAATAAAGATTTTAATCACTAGCATCCTGGTGCCCAGGAGCTTATAGGCAACAGGAGTAATAGACACATCAAAGTCTACCAATCTGATGATTACTGTGATACAACTGTGTCAACTGCTGTAGGAGGGAGCCCCAGGAAGGCGGTATTTAATGTTGCCTGGTGACATCTGGGGCCAGACGGACATATTTGAGTTCAGCCTTTTGAGTATGATAGAGTCATTTAAGCATGGGGATTAATTTAGTGGGGATGCTAAAGGTCTAGAAAAAGGACCAAAAAATAAGATGAGTAAAAATGCAGATGTGCACAGTCTGAGACAAAGCTAGGAGTTTGATACAACTCGAACATAGAGTGGGAGTGGAAGAAGGCCCTTTCTGTGAGGCTGGGAAGGAAAATGGAAACCACATTATAAAAGACTTTCTGGACTGTCCAAGGAGTCTAAAATGTACTCTTTAGGCATGAGTCATTTTAATCAAAGGAGTTACGAGACCAAATGTGCATATTAGAGAAATAGCATAAGCAAATATATGGGTGGCCACTGTGTTTTTTCTTACAATTGAAAAAAAATCCATTGAAGATTAGTTTGTTCATAGGTAAAGGAATCCCCACAAATCTAAGATTTTCTCCCATGACACCTACCACGCCTTCTATCACAGTATGTTCTACACATGGGTCTTGCTCATCTATTATAAGTTCCTTGGGGGAGGATCACATCTTACTCATCTGGAGATTCTTCTGTGTTCCCTAGACAATGTGTTATCCATAGGAGATGTCAAATCGGCCTTAGAGAAATAGGACTTTGATGATGTTCAATCATTAGTTCTAGAAACAAAATTTTATTTTACAGTTCTCTTAGTTTAGCAGACACTGCTTCCTACTATATAAAGCAGCTCAGCATTTCTTAGGTTTAAACTTGTGTAAATGCAACTTTTGATAAACATTTGCCTTTTATTTTAATTTCATAAGAAGATTTGACCTCATATATTTAAATACCACAGATCTGAGAATATTTTAACGACACTGGGATGGATGTAAGTGATATTCAGAGCATATCAATTTAGAGGCAGATTGAATGCAGGCATCTTAGAACACACGAAAAAGGGAAAATTATTTGAGCCTCTCTACCAACAAGACAACTCGATGGTACCT